GGTTCTCAACCTGTGGGTCGGGACCCCATTTGGGGTCGATCGACCATTTCACGGGGGTCGCCAAGCAAGGCTGTCTGCCATTTTTTTTGTCCGCCATTTTTTTCCCCTTTTCCGGCGGGTGCCTTACCTCCCTTGGGCTGGGCCAGCTGGTGGTCGGCCTGCTCCGTCTCTGCCGCTTGCCAGCTACGCCTCGGCCGGCACAGGGGGCGGAACCACGCATGCGCGGCGCTCCCGGGCAGGGAAAGTCCTCGGCTTACGACCGGTTGGGTAGTCCTCGACTTACGACTGGTTTAGTCCTCGACTTACGACCGGTTGGGGTCGCGGCATTAAAAAGGTTGAGAACCACCGATCTAGTCCAACCCCCTGCTCAGGCAGGAAACCTTATACCATTTCAGACAAATGGCCGTCCAGTCTCTTCTTAGAAACTTCCAGGGTTGGAGCATTCGCCGCTTCTGGAGGCAGGTAGTTCCACTGGTTAATTGTTCTAACTGTCAGGAAGTTTCTCCTTAGTTCTAGGTTGCTTCTCTCCTTGGTTAGTTTCCATCCGTTGCTTCTTGTCCTGCCTTCAGGCGCTTTGGAGAATAGCTTGACTTCTTCTTCTTTGGGGCAGCCCCTGAGATACTGGAAGACTGCTATCATGTCCCCCCTCATCCTTCTCTTCATTAAACTAGACAGACCCAATTCCAGCAACCCTTATATGTTTTAGCCTCCAGTTCCCTAATCATCTTTGTTGCTCTTCTCTGTACTCTTTCTAGTACTGGCTGAGGTTTGGAGACATGAATTGCCATAAAAGCTAGTCTGGAAGAATAAAACCTCAGGTCAAGGGCAGGAGACAGCGTAATTTGACATTTGGAACTTCAAGATGGGTGGACGTCAGCTCCCACAATTCCCCAGCCAGCATGCTCCCACAATTCTCATTGATCAGGATCTAATCCAACTAGATCAGAGATTCTCAACCCTGGGAACTTAAAACGTGTGGACCCAGAACATCCCACCCAGCATGCTTTAAAATGTCTGTACATTAGTTGCCAGGCTGGCTTGGGAATTCTAGGAAATGAAGTCCACACCTCTTACAGTGTGCTAGCTGGGAATTCTGAAAGTGAAAGACCACCCATCTTAAAGCATTCTGAATGGGGAATTCTGGGAGTTGAAGTCCACCCATCTTAAAGCAATTAGCTGAGAATTCTGGATCTTGAAGTCCACCTGTCTTCAAGGATACTGGCTGGGGAATTCTGGGAGTTGAAGTCCACCCCTCTTAAAGCAGGCTGGCTGGGGAATTCTGGGAGCCAAAGGTCACCCATCTGAAAGTTGCCAGGGTTGAAAAATGCTGGTGCAAGTCTATTGCTCACCATTTGTCCGAAATGGTATAGGGTTTCCTGCCTGAGCAGGGGGTTGGACTAGATGACCTCCAAGGTCCCTTCCAACTTTATTATTATTATTATTATTATTATTATTATTATTATTATTATTATTATTATTATTATTATTATTATTATTATTATTATTATTATTATTATTATTATTATTATCCCTGAATCCCATCACATTTCTGTTCCTCCTTGCCAGGTTCCTCAGCAATACAGTCCCAGTCCCCACAGTCCCTCCTGTTGACAGGAGCTCGACTGCAAAGCTCGCCCACCCTGACGGACATTTACCAGAACAAGCAGAAGCTTCGGAAGCAGCATTCCGATCCCGTCTGCCCGTCCTACACGGGCTGCAGCTATGGCC